ACAATAAATTTTATAAAATAAAATTTCTGTAGTGTATTTTACTTATCCTTTTGCACTCCAAACATTATTCCTAAAAAAAAAAAAAAAAAAAAAAACTGCTTTGTTAAAACCTGTATGTATGTGGTAATCTAAAGGGTTGAGGAATGCAGTTCTTAGCAAATGCATTTGCTACGCTCGCCTAGTCTCTGTTTAGTATACTCATCTCTTTTTGCCTCTCTGCCCTCCCTCAAGTCATAGTGGACTTTGCATCGTTTGTATTCAGACATCATATACTTGACATTTCTAGGCCCTTGCACATGCTGATGTCAATATAGCATACCATTCCCCTCTCCTACTTTCTCCTTACAGCTTTCAATTGACTCATTTCTGTTCACTTTTCAGTCTTCTCATACCAATCTCACAAACTGATTGTCACCCCTTTTATCCTGGGTTGTATCTTGTGCTTCCCTTTGATAAGGCCATGGCTTAGTAGTGGAGGCAAATTAGCTCTAACGTCTAATTGTTTATACCCAACAAAGATTAAAAGAAGGCTTGAAAAGATCAAATTCTGGTAAATTCTGTAAGTAACTTAACTGCATACAAAACAAAGTCTGATCCTCTTTAAAGGAATACAGTAAGCCCAGCATTTAAGAGAGTAAAACTTACAATATCTAGAATCTGATCAAAAATTATGCATGCAAAGAAGGAAGAAAATATAACATCCAGGAGGAAAACCAATCAATAGAAACAGATTCAGAAAGTATAGAAAGAAAGGAATTTGTGAACTAGGAGCTTAAAAGGAATGTAAAGAAAAACATGAACAGGTGAGAAATGGCAGACTCAAAGAGTTCAACCAACCCCTAGCAGAATAAACAAAACCATACCACAGCACGTCATAGTCAAATTACTTATTAAAAACAGTGATAAAGAGAGAAACTCTTAAAAGCAACTAGAGGAAAAGAATACAAGATCAGCAAACTATACAGCGCACAGGCCAAATCTATCCTGCCTCTTTTTTTTCATAAAGTTTTATTGGAACACTGTTACATATTGTCTATGGCTGTTTTCACACTACAATGGCAGAGGTGGGTAGTTGTGACAGGGATCATATGGCCTGCAAAGCCTAAAATATTTACTAGAGAACGTTACAGAAAAATTTTGTGACCCTTGATACAGAGAAAAGAAAGTAGAAAATGTGTAAACTAGAAAACTGCAATGACATCTAAAAAGTGTTGAAGGGGGGAAAGACTGTCAACCTAGTGAATATTCAATATATCCGGTGAAAATTTGTTTCAAAATGAAGGTGAAATAGGTATTTTTAGACAAAAGTTGAGAGAATTTTTTTTTTCTTGAATATTTGCACTACAAGATAATGTTAAAATTCTTCAGGCTGAAGTAAAAGGATCCAGATGGAAACTTGGACATACACAAAGGAAAGAAGAATGCTGGAAATGAATTTGGCATCATTGACTCAATTTACAGCATATCCAGGTAGGGAGGTTCAGCTTTGGAAAGCTCAAGACTCATACTGTGCCCATGAGCAGCAATTTGGACCTCCTGCTGTATCCACATGCCTGGAGCTCATGAGCTCACTGTATACCAAGACTCCCAGGGAAAGTGTAAACACAGACGAAAGCAAGGATTGACAACCTACAGCCTGTGAGCCAGCCAGCCACCTGATTATCTATGTAGAAAATCCAAAATAATATAAGAATGCTTACCTTACCTATCAATTTTTAGAATTAATAAGTGAGTTTAGCAAGTTCCCTGGATACAAAATTGATATACAAAATTTAAGGGTGCATCTACACACCAGGGACAAATATTAGCATATAA